ACCGTAGCGACATAAACATTTTTTGCCACAGTAATAATGCCTTGTCGAAGGTAGTTTGAGTGCAATAAAAACAATGACTATCTGCGATTCAGCGAAAGCCACCAAATAAATTCCCTATTACTTTCTACAGTCGAGGAATGACTCAAACCTTTCTACGGACATGTGGCTTTCGCATCCTTAGTTAGCGATAAGACGAAGAAGAAAGCTAAACAACTCGCATATGGAAACCGGCAAAACGGATTTACTGAAACCACTCGTTCTGTTTATGTTGTAGAGTTTAATTGGTTTAAAATGGATATTGATGTGAAAGAAATAGTTTGGTGTCTGTGTTTTAAACTTAAGCTATGTTGTTTATTTATAAAGAAATGTGTAAAGTGTAATACCATGATACATTTTAAATTGTAGTTCATAAACTAAAGTCTCAATTTATCTATGTGGAATTGAATATTTAATAAAACATAATATGTAAATAAATAATATTTATATTAAAACTTATGTTAAACCAGTGTAAACATGCACAAAATCTGACAAATATTTAACAGTTTTATTTGATGTTTGTGAAATTATAGAAATTGATTATGTATGAATTGTGTTTTAATAAAACATATTCTATTGAAAATCATTTTAGACTATTACTCTGAAACTAGTTCTTGTTCATTTGAACAAATACTGTAGTTTAGTTGTTATGTTGTAAAATGCACTAAAAATCCAATTCTCCATCTGAATCTTCGAGTCTTTTGTTTTGTTCCTTTTGTTTTGCTTTTTGTTGTGTTAAAAGTGTCTTTCAAAGATTACAAAGTGTTTTTCACCCTTTCGTTTGATTCTTTTGTACAAAAAGAAAGAAGGTGCTAAAAATAGTTATATTATCCTTAGAAAGATTCTACAGTACCATAGTCTAGATAGTTTTTTCCAAACTGAAATATTCATCTACGTACCATTACCCATAATAACGTATAAAATAAACAGATTCAGATTCTAAAATATATAGCGATCCACCCTTTATTGAATAGTGTAAACATACCTGAGTTAATTGTTAAACACCCTTTATATTTTTTTGTATACAAGTACCTGGGACCGAGCTTTCCTCAGGAAAATTCATTAGCACACTGTTAGATCTTTCAAAACAATTTACTGCGTAATTGGCCCGACTGTTTATTTTGATTTTTAACTAATATTGCAGTCTATAGGTCCAATGTTGATATATTGAAAAAAAACTATTTAACCTGCCATGAGACACTGAGAATTCTCGTTCGTCAAACAGAAATTAAGTTTTAAGAAAATTCATTAATTTGGGATTTAAGGAGAAGATTAGTGGAATATATTGCAGTCTTTAAACAATGATATTCGTCCTAACATTATTTTCTTTTGTAATGTACTTGCAATTTGCTATTATAGTCAGCTTATTTTTAAGAATATGTTATTATTATTTTGTTTATATTTGTTGCTATTTAGCAAGCAACATGGGACACCATGTTAAATTTGTTATGTTTAATTCAATTGGTTTTTTATTAGACATTTATGTAACTTATGTTGAAGAATACCTTAGTTAAAACTCAAAGATCAAGTTAATCTTGAGGATACAGTCTGAGAAAATACCCATCATAAAATAATCAATCAAGTTAATCTTGCTCATAATATAGTGATTGCTAGGTTCAGACGATGTAAGAGTGAGTTGTAGCATAAAAATAATTTAAACAATATCAAAACATGCAAAAAGCTTTCATTTAGTTTTCAGAGACAGCATTTTTTTTTTATTTACCGGCTACAGCAAAGGAGCTCTACCATAAACATTAACGGAACCACACTTGTATCAAGAGTTGTATCTTGAGTTAGCATGAAACTGATTGTAGAAGCGTGAAACTAGACGTTACGTCGAGCACGCGCCCCGTTGCTCGTTGCTCGTTTGCATCTGAGCTTAACAAGCGTGCAATGAGGTACCGGATTGGTTTTTGTGTACAGCTGTTTCACGGTAGGAAACAGTTTATGCCAACACTCGGTTATGATACGGGAAGCTAACGGGGCGTGCAGCGGCGTTAGTAGTTCTGTAAACACTCATAAACACTATAATTGGTGACTTCAAAGTGGAAAGGATATACAGGGTGTCTCGGAACTCTACCAACATTTTAGAGCATTGTTCCTGAGTAAGAAACTATCTAAATACCATATTTAACTGTCCGGAAGTCCTTATTTACTCACACAGCCACCATTTTGTTTTTTCACCTATATTTTTTTTTAAGAATGGTTAAACATACGAAATGGAAACTTTGCACAAACATTTATGACAACTTAACAAAGCTACCAAAGAATTATAAATATTTTCCAAATTCATGAAATATAATTGCGGCAATTAAAAATTTTGTTTCTTAACTAAAAAAAACCTTTGATTTTACAAGAATGGCCTTTTTAAGGCAATTTTATTACAAATCGATTAACACCTTATTTTTTAACATTGGACAAATATAACTTGAGATATGGCAGCTTTAGTGATACGTGACCGCTGGAGGTTAGTTGCAGCGCATGCTGAAAGCGGTCACGTATCTCTAAAGCTGCCATATCCCAGTTAATATTCGTCCAATCTTAATAAATAAGGTGTCAGTCGATTTGTAATGGAATTGCCTTAAAAAATTTATTCTAGAAAAAGCTTTTGTAAAATCAACGGTTTTTGGGTTATTTAAGAAATAAAATTTTAAATGGCCGCCATTTTTTATGAATTTAAAATATTTTCATAATTTGTTGGTAGCTTTGTCTAGTTGTCATAAATGTTTGTGCAAACTTTCCATTTAATATGTTTAACCATTCTTTAGTAAAAATGAATAAGTGAAAAAACAAAATGGTAGCTGTGTGAGTAAATCCGGACAATTTAAATATGGTATTAAGATATGTTTCTTATTCAGGAACAATGCTCTAAAATTTTGGTAGAGAGATCCGGGACACCCTGTATAGCTGTTTTCTCGTTTTGTTATGGTTAGTTGCAAACGTGGTCTGCTAGGTTAGGTAAGCTCTTGGATTATTTAATTTGTATGGTTAGTAATTTGTTGTTATTTTTTTTTAGTTTGACATGCCAATTGTAATTTTTAAGTTTTTTTGGGAACGGTTGAAATTCTGGTCCCGTTACTGTCATTGTTTTATAGCCACCACTTGATAGCCCGCAAATGACATCTAGGTATCGTTATATTTCTCTAACCCAAAAATTTGGGGCCATAACTATAATCTTATTACATACAGTATCAAAGCATTTTTAACGCCTCAAACAAAGTCCCTATAAAACGCCGATAGTAGTTATTTTACATTATTCATCAGTGAATAAAAATCAAATAAAACATAAAAACCCGTAAAACGAATCAGCGACGAAAAATGTCTTGTACGAGATATTTTGTATTTCCTTTGATAAAAAGAACAGTCCCAAAGAATTTCGATGATGTATTACAAGATAATTTTAATTTATATCATGTATATAGAGGCTGGCATAAGCTAAAATTTATTTTAAGGATAATCATTTATTTACATAGTTTGTTAGGAAAAAACTGTATTCTGGAACTTAAAATATATTTTTTTATTTCAAGTTAAAATCTGAATCGTTATGTAAATAACTTTGGCTATTTTACATTCATAAAAATATTTGATGGCTTCAAATTGGGGGTACACCTATTACTATTTCAAAAATTTTAAGGATCACATAAGCTCATCAGTATTTCATACGTGGAATTTAAATTCGTACGTTTTTGTTGATTTAAAGGAACCTTAAAATCCTCCAAAATCACTGTTTAATCTACATTACACACATTTATTGAGCTTAGATATCTTAAATTGACTATTACAGCTACAGTTCAATTTTACGTAAATTTAATACTACATAGTAATACTAAATAGTAAGTAAGAAATTGTTGTCATTAACATTTTGACTTTACTTTGCTAGCATTCCACCATAATGTGGTTATTAGCCTACTTTAAATATTTAAAATTGCAAATCTTATGCTGTTGCAAGCATTATTTACTTTTTTTCAGTATTCTTGTCTGTTTTATGATTTGGACATTCAAGATAAAAAAGAGTTATTAAAAACGAGAAAAGATTGGTTTATATACATTGGATTGAATTGTCAACGTTATTACGTAATACGTTTAAGTTTAATTTTATGTAATGATAGATAATATAAAGTAATGTAGACTCCTTTATATCGAGTTGTCTCTATAATTATCATCAACTGGATGAAAAGGAGTCACATATTAGAAAAATAAATTGATTATATTCGTTAAGTTGTACTAGACTAACTTATTATTACAAAACTTCCGTTTCAAACTCATTTACAGGAATAATTAAAATAATGACAAAAGTGCTAAGGTGGAGATATCGTTAAACGCGGCATCTGTTAGACCCATCAGTGTAGTCTCCCAAGAAATACGTACGAACAAGTAAAAGTGAATCAGTCTAATTTGGGCCAAAGCTACATAAATTGAGTGAATATACTTATATTTAACTTTGTTGTAGGAAAACAATCAAATGGACCAAAAAGAGAGAGCTTACGTGGCGATGAAGTCCATATTGCAGATCACAGTTGCAGTCGTACATTATTACGACTTTGTTGAAAAATATATTGAAAATTGTTAAAAATTAAAGCAAAATTTATATTAACTTAACTTTTAGCGGTACTTTTGTTATGATAAAGATTTGTATGTAATTATTTTATAAGCCCTTCTTGGGTTTTAAACAAAAATTTCATCATTTTGGGTCTACCAAAACTGAGCGATTCCGTTATCAACGATGTATTCATTGTTTGGAAATATGAACTCATTGGACATCCCTGGTCCATTCAATGGGAAATTTGATCTATAATTATCTATTCTCACAACACAGCTATAAATATCAAATTGCATCGTACACCCTTGAATTTTCTACTTAAGAAAATTAGAATGAAAAAAAAACTTAACTATAAATCAACCGGATGGTTAATTTAAATTCCATCCGTTATATAAATCAAAGAAATGACAACACTGTAACCAACCTGTATGAACATGATGACAACACAAATTCACCAAAACGAAGACACAAAAATATCCAAACCAGTGAGGAACTGGAGGTCTCCTTGGCTGTAGCATGGTAACAGGTGCAACACTACGCGAGTCGATCATTTAGACACATGCTCACGGGTAGACGTCCGAACGCACAGTGAGGTTACCGTAACCTGGGGAGCGGCAGCGACGGAACTGGGCTCCGGCGGAGAGAGAGAGAGAGAGAAAGAGAGAGAGAGAGAGCTGCAGGACACTTGACTCTGGAAGCGAGAACTGTGGAGTCGTCACTGGTGTGGTCGGAGGTGATAGTCCATTAGCTCCATTAATGGACCTCCGTAGTCTGGATGATGCATCTCCTGGCCAAGGAAGAACCGGTAGCCATGAGATGCACATGACCCCAGTCATTCATTAACGTTACTTTGAAGCTAGGAAAACAACGTTGGTGTGTATTTGCACGTAAAATGAGTTTATAATCTGTAAGATGGAACCTGTCTCCTGGCCATTTCACCGGGTACTGGTATCATTGGCTAGTTCCCTGGTAGACGGAGAGTCAGGAGACAGATTCCTTCATACAGACTATACAGTGGCGTTATGTGATCTGTGTAGCTTTATTACTGTCTAGGGTAAGCTGTTATAGCCAGGAAAATTCATTCAAAAGCTCAAACGACGTATCTATTCATGTAATTCATTGACTTCAGAATTTGATTCACTTTTCACAGTGTTGGTGACATTGTAAATCCCTCTATATATTCCCTATATATATCCCTAATTTATCAGACATTTACAATCATTATCTTAAGACAGCAACACCTTCCAAGTGAGTTTTTTACGAATATGAATCTAAGGTGAAAGTAAAAAAGAGTCATAAAATATGTGTGGCTTTGTTACTTACTAAGATCAGCTCTTTTAACCAGGACTAACAGCTGAATGATCAGAAACAACTACACCCAGTTGCCTCAACCCCCTGCCATCGAAATGACTTTCCTCAGGATCTAGGTGGTGACCTTTTGGCTTTCAAGCAAGTAGGCCTACTTTAACCAATCAGCTACCCACCCACACCTGGATAGATGTACACAGATAGATGTATAGATCGATAGATGTATAGATGTATACAGGCATGGTAGTACAAAGATAAAGTATTCTCCTTTTTAAAAGAAGTTAGCGGCGTTTTAACCTTGCATTTGCCCATCCACATAGGCTACGGACCTGTACATGGAACGTATCCAGCAAAGAAAGGGGTGAGCCGGTACAGAACAATGGTAGTACTGATTAAAAGTTTTTGCAGGTATCAGGATCCAACCCTAATCCCATCGAATGCTAACCCTACATCATCCCTAATTCATACCTTAATGTGCCTAATATGTCAAAAACCAAATACTCCTGCTACGTCATAAATTCAATCTTCGACATCCAGGTGATCTTATGGATCACAAGCCAGTGGTGATAACACTAATATGATCTCGGAAAATTAAAATTAAGCATAAGGAAAGTCATTTACTTTTCAACTTTATAGATTTAATATATATTTACACAGAAAACTGATTCATAAAATCATCTTTTAATCTGCCACACCTTATCAACTGCGTTAGTACAATACAGTAGGCCTATCCAGTAGACAACAGTTTTTTATTGGTAACGGCACGCAATTCTTGTATTTTACCTCTGGTCTGAGGGGCATTTGATATTTTTTTAAATACACTTTTAATATCAGTTGTACGTTTTATGGTTTTGCAAGCGAATACGGTAGAAGTTTGAATACATTTGGAGTAAAATAAAACATCTAATATTTTAAAATCTGCGAGTAAAAAATGTAATCCTTTTAAAAATGTTGATCGGGAAATAACTCATGAAAAATTCGGTGTGCAAAGGTGGAGGTCCTCCGATGAAGGAAAACAAGTATTAGATTATATAGGACACGTGGCAATACTTGTAATGCAATCTGACCTTCCAAAATCTTTGGATTGAGAGGGGAAAAGTTAGCATTTGCGATTAAAACAGGGATTAATAATTTTGAATTGCATATTTAAGTTTAAAAAGCTAAGTAAATATATGAAATGGGTTTTGTGTAATTGTGACTTACCAACGATTTTGTGGCCAGAATAACTATTAATTTTATCTGTAAACCAAAAATGACGGATAGTTTGCCAAAAGTTACTACCGGAAAAACGTGTTTCTACAAATGGTGTCACATTTGGACGTTGACTTTAGACTAACAGTAATTATAGCCGTAACGTTCTAGTTATGTGTACAGATAGTATTGTCCTACAGTTTGCGTCAGTGGCGCGGGACGACAGGAGTTCCCCTGAGAAAATATAGTATCACACGAGCCTGTTATGAAATTATCCACATACTTAATCCACTACAGACTCTTATCACTTTCTACAATGTATCTATCCATAAACCCTACTAATTCCGCTGCAGATAGTGATCACTTGCTACAATGTGCCTATCTATAAACCCTACTAATTGTATATATCCATAAACCCTACTAATTGTACTGCAGATAGTGATCACTTGCTACAACGTATATATCCATAAACCCTACCAATTCCACTAAAAAGGGATCACTTGCTACGACGTATATATCCATAAACTCTACTAATTCCACTACAGATGGTGATCACTTGCTACGACGTATCTATTCATATACTCTATTAATTCCACTACAGATGGGGATCACTTGCTACAACGTATATATCCATAAACCCTACTAATTCCACTGCAGATGGGGATCACTTGCTACGACGTATATATCCATAAACTCTACTAATTCCACTACAGATGGTGATCACTTGCTACGACGTATCTATTCATATACTCTATTAATTCCACTACAGATGGGGATCACTTGCTACAACGTATATATCCATAAACCCTACTAATTCCACTGCAGATGGGGACTTGCTACGACGTATCTTTTTCTCACATTTAATCCACAACAGACGGTGATAATTTAATACGGTGTATTCACAATTTCATCTACCACAGAAGCTGATAACTTGCTCAATCTATCTTGCCTTCATGCAATACTTAAACATAATTTTAAAATAGTCTCGTTTGTATAAGTGATGACAAGTTTGGAACGGTAAAAGAGTTAGAATGTTCGAGTTTATAGCAAATGAACCCCATGTCAAATTGCCATCAATTATATGACCAATAAAATGTGTCAGTTTTAGACATAAAAAACACTATTTATGATACAATTTCCGTTTTTAACGTTTCAACTTTAACAGCAAACGCATGTGGATTAGTAAGCAACATAGCTCACTGTGATATTTGACTGTGAAGATTTTAAATTATAGAATAAAATAAGTTAATACCATAAAATCCGAACCCCTTCTTATACAACATTTTTGAAGTCAGTTTCAGCCGTCTTTGGCAATTCCTATATTTGATTTATAATACTTACGTAATACCGCGCTACACTGTGAAGGAGTAGAAAGTCCTGCCAATTAGCATGCAAACTAGAATATGATAGGCTTCAATATATAGCCTTGGGGAACTCCCATTACAGCCTTAGCTAATTTATTTTAATAGTCCAAATTTAACGGTAATCAGGCTGTTTTGGCCGCAACAGGATATCCCTTTGACATTGGACTTTAGGTTATTTAACCGAAGGATTTGGTTGAACGTTGGAATTCATTGTTGGAAGCTAGTTTTTGGTAAAGAAAATGTTTGTAACTTAAGGGATTTTTGAGCAAATTTTCAATCACTTTTAGAATAATAAGTTTGTAAGTTTCAGGATCTGTGTTCCATCAATTTGTACTAATTACCAACTTTCAAGCTTTCTTGTTTCCTGTTTTGACTAATATACTATACTGTGTGGTCTTTAATTTACAGCATTGTCTGTGTATGTTTAGGCTACTTACTTTGGTCACTTATTATGTTTTGGATACTTTTTATTACTTGAAGACGGGACCAGATGACAGATCTCTAAATATAGTGGAAACCTGTTTTAGCGAATTTCCTTATAGGGAAGTAGCTATTACTGTATGTCTCATGGTAAGACCTAGGCCCGGGATCGATTCACTTTTTCATTTTGATATCCCCTGAGGCCAAAATCACCATCCGTTCAAAATTTTACATACAGCATATATAATATAAGTGTGTCCGTGAACGTGATAGCTTCAGTAATTTTTGTTCGATTTTGATTAAATTTGGTGTGAAGGTGTAAGACGGGATAAACTTAAATGAGTTCGCTAACCAGCACGATCGGATCATGAGAAAGCGTTTTACCAGAGGTTTTATGGTGTAAAAATCTGATTATCTAATTGTTTACCTGAAAATACTGAATTTCCCAATTTATTTCTAGACCATTTTGAAGGGCAACAAACTAAACAAATCATTTGGTATATCAAAGTGTTATTGTACAGTTGTTGTTTAGGGAGAAAATTCTAAATATTGTTAATTTAAAATTCCCACGTAATTCTCAAGGTGAATAAGTAAACTGTTGTAGTTTGTTTATTTATGGATATGTTCATCAAACATGACCAGTTTCTTTATTTTGTACTAAGCTAGTAATATTTTACTAAAACACACTTTATTACCCCCCTTGTAGCAGCAACTTGTATTAACCTAATGTAATTTAAATAGATTCAAGTGAGAATCCAATCAGGCAAATGGAAATTCGCTTAGTCTGTAGGTTTGCTGTGTAGTTTACTAATTGTGATGAAAAATGTTTGATAAAAACTTAAATAACGTTTTTGATATATTTCATTCTTTAACGTGATGCCATAAAAATGATAGCCCCTGGTGATTAATTTCTGATTAAATAGATTTATGACCTGAAGCTCTTAAAATTCAGGCACAACTCTCTATCGTTTACACTTTTAATCATTTTGTTTATAACGTTCAATATACCTGTACAATAGATCATACTATTCACAGACATTCGTAACTAATGATATTTGTTTCAAGTAAAGCTTTATACTGGACATTTTTACCGGATGAACTCAGATTTCAATTTTAATGTCCATACTCTTTTATGTGAGTTTTAAATAAAGTGATTGCTGAACATAAAATAACATAAAACGTTTTGATAAACATAAAATCCCGAATACAATTGTTAGTTTTTTGTATGTTAATTATTTCATCGAATATTTTAATTTAAATGTAAAAGTAAATTCTCATTTAACTTTTGAATCAATCATCTCAATCATCAAACTGATAAC